TGAGGGTGAGGCTGTAGTGGAGGCATATTCTGGACTACGTGCGAGGCTATTGGAGGTGGCCCTAAATCCAGGTTCCTAACCTGGTTCTCCAGGTAGTCCAACACCTGGTTGTTTCCTTTTATGCTGCTGTGCGCACTGCCATTCACAAGGTGCAGAGGTGGCACAGAGGACTGCTGTTGCTGCAGGACCATGGGTGCCAGCTGCATGGGAGCCATGGCAAAGTTTTGTTTGGCAGAGTGGTCTGAAAATGAGCCTGGAACACCAGTAACAGAAAATGATCAGTTCACAACAGAACTAGGAGAGACATAAACAGTCTTGAGCCTGGTATAATTGATTTTTGGCCACTTGGGGGCAGTGGAAAGTGTAAACATAACACTAATACGTCACCTTATAAAGTTGATGTGTCAAACATCTGGAATACAATGAATAGTCACCTATTTACACATCCAGCAGAAAAGGAGCAACATTATCTTTCATCTGTAGTCATGTTTCCAACCACCTAATGAATGAGTCCAGTAATCACTTTCTTATACATCTCTGTTTAGTCTCTACCAACTCCTGAACAAAATAACCTGACTTTTAGCTGCTAACTTTGTATGTGTGCTGACGCGGTGCAGAGGTGGCAGTGTACAGCCAGAACTGCGAGATTTTTCATCTGCCTGCTGAGGCCAAAAACAATGCTGATACGAGCTGTGAGAGTAAAGTGAGAGTGCTACAAAAGTCAAACAGCTGAATGATACCAAAGGGCTCTGTAGAGCTGAGGGTAAGTTTGTTGATAACTCTCTGTGGTTTTATGAATATGATCAACTCCTTTCATATACAAACAGTTATGTAATCAACAGTTAAAAATATTTTGCTGTCATCAGAGTAGGGGTTACATTTTTACTACAGGGACTTTTCAAAATCATATTTTATCTCTTCTTCTTTTAAAGTTTGATTACTGAATAAAATCTCTAAACAGCATCCTCGTCACAGTCCAGCTGCCATAATCCAGAAAAGAAAAGCCCTGAATGAATCTAAAAGTTGATAAACACATTCAGATTGCCTTCAGTTATGACCCTGTGCTCTCAGTATGTAAGGTGATAGTGCAGGAAATAATGTTCACATAGGTTCAGGCTTTTTGTTTTTTCACTTCAGTGTGTCCTCCCATTTCTGAAACCAAACCAAGCTACACACCCTGGCATTTAACAAAACATTAACAACACATCTTATTGTGCTTTTGTGTCACTCACCTGAATACAGTATGGGGACCCCCTGGGAGGAGGCCTTGGAGCTAATGGGAGCGTAAATGGGTTGACCATTCATCCAAGGAACCATGGCCTTCTGAGCCTCTTGTATCATCCTGTGCTGCATCACGACTGAAACCACAGCAGAGAAGAGAAGGGAGAGGCTTCAGATCTGTTTGTGTAACTCAGCTCAGTGATATTGGTGATGACTCAGTAGATGTTAGTACCACTTCTGTAGCTGAAATCACTCTTGTCAGTGATGTACTGAAGGTTTATGCCCCTATTTTAAATGGAAACGCAAAGACCCAACAAGACCTCACAGACATGTTAGATTGTCAAAGGTGCAGCCCTGTTTTCATTATTACTGTGCTGTTCTGAAAGACATTTTCAGTTCTTTACTGTTCTCTGTGAATATGGGAAGAACATTTGCTTAAAGGTAAAATTTTCATAATAACAGAACTTGATTCCTTAACATGTGGCCAATCCACACTGCGCCGTTCTCTTTTGACGGTGTCATAAAATAAACACTGGGAAGGATTTAGTGTCATCAAAATCCATGGCCTCTCTTGTTAATTTACATAAAAATGATCTTATTGAGCTCCACACAATGCTTTATACAGATTTTAAATTTGTGAAAAAGAGAACTGGTATCAGATCAGTATCAACACACATCTTAAGTTCAGGTATCACAATAAGTATTGCAAGAGGAAAAACTCAGTGATTCAACAAAAATACTTTTCTCAAATGCTGTAAAATGTGATGGTTTCATACAGAGTACTGAGTGTCCTAATGGGCTCATGTGAGCTGTGGTTAAAAAAAAGAAACAAAAAACATCTCTGCTACCTTCTTCTGGGCAGCAGCATGTCTGTGGACAACATGGGCAGCGGACGTAGCAGCAGCATGTCTGCGGGCAGCACTGACAGCAACATATACCAATGAGCATGATGAGCAGGAGGCCACCAAGGATGATAAACAGGACTGTCAGCCAGTCTGAAACAGGAAACCAGAGGCCAAGGAAACCGATATTACTCCTGAAATTTCAGTCTTTCACATTTTCAGGCTCAATGCGACCTCGAGTGCCACAGCTTTGACCAACTGAGGAAACTTACGATACACGATGAGTCTGACTTCACTATCTGAGTCTCCTGCCGTGTCACCGGCAGCATCAATGGAGCAGAAATACACACCGTTATCCCACCACATCACCTCAGTGATGACCAGGTCAGCCTCTGTTGACAGAGATAAATATATATGTATAACATTGTTCTGCTGGGTAATGCAAATATAAACACTTTTCAAACAACACGATGTTCAAGAAAAGCACAAAATCATTTTGTAAACATACAGTACGTTCACAATCCACAGTAACAGCTATCATAAAGGATGAACAGTTGCAGATATATGCAGCCTGAAAATGTTATTAAATCACAAATCAATGCATTAAGTGAAACTGTATCAACAGCTGAGACTGAGAGTGTTACTATGACAGGATCAAACTTACTATTTTGAATGGTAATTTTGCGTTCTCTGTAGTCTACGCCCAGGGAAGGCTCATTGAGGCCCTTCTTCTGGATCACTGTGCGGATTTTGCGCTGCCTGTCTGGGCAGTCATTGGTGGGGTCCTGACCCAGAGCCAGAGAAGCCTGATAGGCTGAGGGAGAAAAAACAAGGTGGGACATGTTCAATTTACTGCATTTTTCATCTGAATCACTGTCAATAGTACTTACTGTAATACTACTCATATTGCCATCATAACTGTGGTACTTTAACTCATTATTTTCAATTTGCCAAAGTGCTGATTATGCTTAAAGCACTGATTATCTATTTGATATTGCAGGGCTGTCTGCTTATTAAACTGCATTGACAAAGCTGAAAAAGTTTTGGCAAAGAAGGAATGTGTGTGGAATAAAAGAGACAATATCTCAGACTCTGAAGGAGGGCACTGTCAAACTGGAGTCCTCTTTGAAACAAGTGCTGTGAATGGCTGAACATGACCATAAAAATACTTATGATGCTGCAGATACTTTAATGCAAGAGCAAACACTGTGACTCATATGTTCATTAAAATGTTTCTTTATTATGACGATTAAAAAAAAAACATTATTCAAGTGGTTTTATGTTTCCCTCAAAACATACGTACTTGCTGTTGCAAACTTGTGGTACAGGGTTGGCAGTTCAAGATGTCAAATTAACAATAATGTGTAAAAAATAGTGAAGATCAATATCTGCAGTTTTGAAAGCTATTCTGTCCATAGCAATAAGGCCAATGAGGGAGGTTATGAAAACTAAAATAAGAATAAAACTACATAACAGAATTCACTCTGACCTTGCTGCCATTTTTATTTTTACCATATCCTGTGGCTGGGCTACATGACTGCACATTAAGGTCTCCTTCCACCAGTAGTCTCACCTGCGGAGTAGTACTCCAGCACTGGGTCTTTACAGAAGGACTTGTACCTCCAGGTGACCAGGACGTCCTGAGCGGTCGCTGAGGTTGAATAGTCACAGCGCAGAATCACAGAGGCGAACAGAGTCGTACGTCTGACTGTCTCTGGAACAATCACCTGGATGGACAGCAGCTCTGATACAAGCAGCAGGAAGTGTGACAGGACATGGAAGGTAAAAAGCAAAACTGGTGACACACAATTAAAAAAAAGCCCCTCTGAATTTATTTCCCAGCTGTGCTCCTGGATGTTGGTTTGATAAGAATGTAACCAGACTGGTTAACACTTTACTCCAGAGGTACTATATCATTAGAAACAATAACACCTGTCAGTCATTATCAGCAATTTAGAGAGAGGAAAAAAGGATGGTGAGCTCTGCTGATTGACAAGATCATTTCACACACGCCTATGGGCAATTTAGAGACACCAGTCAACATAAGCTGCATATCTTTGGGAGGAAGCCGGAGTACCCGGAGAAAACCCACGCAAGCACGGGGAGAACATGCAAACTCCACACAGAAAGGTCCCAGGTGGGGCCCGAACCCGGAACCTTCTCGCTGTGAGGCAACGGTGCTAACAACTGCGCCGCCCAAATATTTCAACTGTACATTATTCTTTTAATTGTAAATAGGGCCACAATTTGCAATTATTTTCTTTCTTAACTGATAAGCAAATTATTTTCTAACTGTCATGATGTGATATATTTAGAAGGCAGATAATGATTTGAATGATAACGCAGTCTACACAGAGTAACTGTGGAGCAGAGTCACGTGACAACAGCGGCCGTCACCCGTTAATACCTGTTGATAATTAACTTGTATTTTTCGACTGTTTGTTTAAGTGGCTTCGCTCCACATTCTTGCCTAAAAACAACATTAAGAAACAAGCTGATTCATGTATTATGTAGAAAAAGATTAAGACTTAAAACTTTAAAGCCTCACCTGTTGGCAGGTGAACCAACAGCAGCGCCATCAGTATCCAATTTCCCATCTCGTTTGCTCTTTATTCTCGCAGAAGCTTCGCTCTCTGTCCCGTGGGCGACTGAAAATCCACCCGAAATCCTGAATATCTGAAGAAGAACGTCAGGTAGGCGCCACTCTGCATAGTAATCCCATTCTCCTCCTAAAACGACACGCCAGACTGTGTTTGTTTTCTCCAGTGAAAGACGACCTTAGAGGAACATCTGTTTGTGGGGGTGGGGTGGACGACCCGCCTCCGTCCAGCTTCAGGTTACTTCACTGACTTCGCCCCTAGTGACAGGTGCAACAAGGAGGAAGAGAAGACGAGCAGGAAGAGCATGCTGCCGTCCACAGCCCTACAAGGTGACGCATTATTCCCTCAAATGTTGAATTCGTATCCTTAAACAATTGTTTTCTCAAAACGACAACTTTGTTTACTTAATACACTCATCTAACTTCAGTAACTTTGAAGATATATGTTCATAAATACACGACAATCATGCAAAATATGATTAAATGTGGATCAAACAGCCCAACAGTACATGAAAGTATAGTAAGTACAGTATATGAAAATATGTATAAACAATAATTCAACGTAATACTGTTGTAGAACAGTACTCCCAAAGTAAATATTTATGAGTTGAGTATTTTTATTTTCAATACTTTTAAATACACTTTGCTCATAACACGTCTGCACTTTTATTTCCTAGAAGAGCACTTTTATTTTGTAACATTGTTGTATATTAAATTACCCAACAGCTATAAAGAAGTTACACCTGCTTACACATTAATACATCAATACTAATGGTAATCCAGTATAATAACACAGGCTTAGTGCAGTTTTTCTATTTTATATAGATTTTACACTGCTGCTACTTTTACTTTTACTTTTAAATACAGGATCTGAATACCTCTTCCTCTACTTTTTGTTTTTGGCTGTGTTTTTTCCTCCTATAGTTAGATAGCAAACTTATTCACAAGTAGTTCACATTTAAGAAAATAGCCTATAGATTAGTTAAATTTTCATAGCGCATTTGCTTTTGCTGATAGTTCACTGATGTTGCTACACAGACAGGACTACAAAAGCTGGTGTTTGCACCTGCATGCCTTTGGTCTACCATAGAATAAAACAAAGAAGTAGTGAAAAGAGTTGAGTTATTGCCCATTATACAGAGATCTTCTAAACTGGCCTGGACATAGTTCAAAGTGGTGTCAGGTGTCTTCGGTCTTATAATCAGTCCTTCAGCCTGTTTGAATGGAGAGTACTCACAGTGCAGTTTGCAGAGAAAGCACCTCACTTTTCTTTCAGTCTTTGTGTAAAGGAAAAAGCCACAGACCCTCAACCGGGCTAGGGATCAAATCCAACAAAAAAACCTTTTAATGTGAGAAAAAATAACAATGACACTTGAAAATTGAATTAACTAGTTACTGATTTATTCATTAGTAAATGTTTTGTTCTTTGCTGTGTTTTTGGTTCAATGCTTGTGCAATGTGAATATTAAGCTGCAGTTACATTTGCATGCCCTCGGCAGTCTGGAAAAAAAGAAACAGTTAAATTAAAAGGAGTGAAGCCTGAATTATCTGAATGTAAATCAAGTAGAGGAGTAGCAGATCAGCTTGTCTGGTGTTCAGTATAAAGTTCACTCTCGGGATGAGTCATGTTTGAACAAGTGCTGGAGCTCTCTGTGCAAGCACATTTACATCTCTAATCCAGGACATAGACCCCACCGAGCTTTGTCACCGACTCAAAAGAGCCTGTCTGAGCTGAACTCAAGTGCTGGTCTCAGCTCATTGAAGTGTGCTTGCATTCCTGTGAAAAACACTGCAAGGATCTCACATCTGTTTGACTCTCTGGTTTTTAAATTCCTTGGTAAATACTTTATATAAACAAGCTGCTTTAGATAAACGATAACGTGCGCTGACTGTGTTGTTCTGTAGCTTGTCAGTAAAGCTCTAGTGTTTATTTACCTGTGTATATTTGATAAGCAGCGCTAAAAAAATAAAGGCTTTCTCCAAGGTACACACTCATTATCAAACACTCAAAGCTCAGATTCTGTGACAGACAATGGAAGTTTTATATCAAAATAAATCTTGTCAAAACAATTGAAATGCAAACATGTGGGCCCAGAGACCTGTTGGCATCATCTGCAGGTTTGATTTGTTCAATTCACATTATGTACAGCATTGTGAGTAGACACACTTTGTGAGTAGACACACTAATTAAAAACAAAAAACTAAATAACCCCCCCCACACACACACACACAAACAAATTCAATTTTATACTTGTAAATAAAACAACTACATTTTGCTATTATTGTGATAGGAAACTTATCTTTGAGTTTAGACTTTTGGAAAACAAGAAAACAAGATAAGCAATGATGTCACCTTGCGCTTTAGGAAATGATGGGGATTTTTTTACTGTACTGATATTTTAAAATTCAAACAGTTGCTCAAGAAAATAATGGCCAGATTATCAAACAATGAAAACAATTGATAGTTGTAGTCCTCGCTCTTTGTGTCGTTTCTTCTGGTCAAGATAATCAAAAACCATTAATGTAAGACAGTGAAAACTTCACCAGATCTTTTTATTCAAAAAGTATTTAGGCAGTGCAATAAAATCTGCTGAACAAATTCAAAGTAAAACACATCCATACAGTACAATATCAGCAACAGACAAAAACAGAAATATGAAGTGAACCTGATTTGCAATGTACTGAGTATGAAGACTGTGACGTCCTTCTCAGTGTTACAGTAAACCACTCTGAAGTTGGCAGCAATTAAAAAACATCTTGGCACCAGTATAAGGAAATCCAGTCACTCAACCCATCAAATTCAGCAAAGAAAACTGATGCACACACCATGCACACATGAACACCTGCACATATACAGAGGTATAATTCATGCACGAGTACATACATCCTGTACTAACAGAAATGACTGCACATGCTACTTCGTGCATATTAATTTCTCATCATCTTTCATCCACCGATGTTTTGTTTTTCAGTGCAGTTATTTCAGTGAGTTCAGTCAGACATCATGCAGCGGGTGGTGGAACAGTTATTCCCCTCCTGTGAGGCAACAGGACGATTTAAACGAACGGACCGGCAGCGTTGTGTGGTCGAGGCGGGCACGCCTTGTCACACTATGAGAGCATCCCTGCTCAGTGCAGTGCTCTGTTAAAGAAATACACCAAGATCCACATGTTAGAGACTTTGCATTCATGCTCATGCGAGTCCAGCCTGAGGCGTCACAGAAATCATGCAGCTCAAGCTGTGTTAGTAACGGCTGCGATGCACAGAGAAAATCCACAATGTTTTCACAAAGCCAGAGAGTAAATATGTGCAACACTGACATGGTTGTAAGCACAGATGGATTATACATGTGGCTTAACATGTAAATGTGATCATTTCAATTGCTCTCATTTAGATTTACACAAAACATGTTACAGCAACCTTCATAAAATCATGTAAAAACTAAGTGATTCAGTGTTAAGACCATAAATCTTGTATGTACATACACAAGAATCAGATTATGCACATAATACTGTAAAACATTTTCAAATGTTTAAATACAAGTTTGGCACCATTCTGTTTTACACTTACTGTTAACAAATGTCATGAAAACAGCAAAACCAAAGTGTACATCACCTGTGAACCAGCAAACAAACTAGTGGCAAACAAGATGTCTCCTCTTGTCTAACATTAGCTTCCTGCACTGATGGAGTGCAGAAAACAGTGATACAATCTGATATGTTTTTAATCTTTTCTGGACAACAATGGGGAGGAATGAGCTACATCAGGCTTCGGGTACACAGGTTATACATTATTCATTGTTAGTTTTGTTCTTTTCATGGGATTTGTTGACAATATGAAAACTAAAGAATATCACAAGACGTATCCTGTAACTATTTACAGGAGGCTTCTTTCCTGAAGAACTGAAGAGGAAGGAAGTCCTCATTGCCGCTACAAGTAACTCACCAGGTTTCGGCTCCTGTCTCTCTCCTCGCTGCCACCCTGTAGCGTATGGGACATTCCTGGCTGGGGGCGGGTGTAAGAGAACGGCCTCATGGCTGATTCAGTGGTGCTGTATCTCTCTGATCTGGGAGCTTCTGCAGTGCGGTGCCGGTCTGTGGTGTGGTCAGCGCTGCGGTGCTGCTCTGCCCCATGCTCAGAGTATGGAGGCAAAGGGTCCTCTTCCTCTGGACGGTTGCTAGGCGACCGGCTGTAGTTACTATGGCTGCCCTGTCCTCTCGAGCTGCCTTTGGAGGGAGTGTCACTGTCCTCATCCATCCTCCTGGCACCTCTGTCCCCTCCCCGCCCCCTTGCCTTGCTCTCCAGCACACTGTTGAGGAAGGTGTCATCGTATCCTCTGTTTTGGGGCGGCCGAGAGGGGTGATCACTGTCCCATGTGTCCCTTCTCTTATGTGCTAAAGGTGAGGGGCTGCGGCGGCCCCAGCCACCATCTTTTTCTCGGTAGAAACGCCTGGGAGGGCTGTAATCGCGTTCATAGACCCAGTTTGGAGGTTCAGCCCGCCGACCACGGGAGCTGTAAGACTGAGCAAATTCCTCCAGTTCATCCAGGGAGCCAGTACGTCCTCTCCTGCTCAGCGTCTTCCTCTGCAGGTGCTCTGAACGGGGGTTCCACCTACAGGGGGAAGATCACTTATCTCAGCACACAATGGTTTTTAAAAATACTTTGACATTTCACATGACAAATTAGAATAGCACAAGGTAAAGTAATCAGTAGTTGTTCTAGCAGTGAGTTGATGAACAAGGTTGCAGTATGGGGTCAGAATGGAGTTATCACTGATGACACAGATGTTGTGAGAGAGTTTGGTGAGGGATTTGGAACCAGTGATCAGACAACAAAGTTCAGTTTGAGAAAGCTGGTTTTCATACATGATTAAGTTTCACTGAATCAGTTGGTCAGGGTGGAGCATGCTGCAGTGGCAATAGATTTGTCGGATATGTACAGTTTGACATAATCAGCACAGCAAAAAACAAAAAAAATGCAGACAATATAGACCTTTTATATGTGTCTGTAAATCTGTATATTGTAGCCTGATTACTGATGGAATTTCCCAGAACAATGTTCTTCTGTGGGCCAATTGAAGATCTAATGAACCTCCTGGAAAACAGTGCATCCTTAGTGGTTTTACCATAGTGTGTGATTCTGTTTACTAAAGGGTTACACCTAACAATATGGGACCTTTCCTTTCTTAACACATAAATACATGCACTGGCACCGTCTGTTATAATCCTACCTTCTGTCTAGTTCATCATCTGAGTGGTTTCCTCTGTCCCACCTGGGCCTTCGACTCTGTGCAGCTGGAGCTGCTCTCACCACTGACTGGTCATCCAGATCTGCGATTGGTGGGAGCGCCTTCATCTGGACTGTCTGATAGGTGTGTCTGAAGTCTGCCCCTCCTTCATGCAGAGAGCTCAGCTCTGATAGGCTGCTGGCTGTTGAGACAGATACACCATGAAAATCACATTTGTATTTTGACCATAAAATCGGTGTGAAATTAAGTCTCACAGTTTTAAAGTTTGTTTTCTGTAACCAAAACTATTACACAACTATAGTCGAATGATGTTGAAATCCTACATTTCGCAGCCAAATGTGGCCAGTAGAAACACAATCTAGTTGCTTGGAATAAAACTGTACATCATCTACTTTCTGGGTTGAGGTAACCATGACTACATGGACATGAACTCTGATTATAACTGTCTGCAAGTTACTGAGGGCATTATTGTCTCATGTGCCACTTCAAACTATTGCCTTAACCCAGTTAGTCTTTTTCCTCATTTTACTGTCCACAAATTTATCCAATTCATTAACAACACTAGTATGCATCTAATAAGAAGTATATTCTGTGTAGCCACAGTCTGATTCATTCACAGTTTATTCCTATACAAATATTTCAAAAACCATTAAAAACACATAAATGAGCCACACTGTTACACTGGGTGACACATTCTTTCATTACAATAAATATGGGAACTGTTTATTTTGTGGCAGTCACACTATTCTGTGACAGTACCTAGCTGTATTAAAAAGTTAGCAAGCCTTAAAAACTGAAACTATATAATTAGGAGCTGTTGTTATAGGTTTATATCATCAGTATGAACAAATTTACTTTGGGTCAAGAGGCAGACTGGGGAAGTGAAAGTACTGAGAGACAGCCCATTTCATACTTGTTAACAATAGCATATATTTCTATCTTTATCTTTAAATGTGTACAAGACAAAGGGCATTTACAGATGTTTCACTGTGTGAAATTAGTATGCAAAAGGTGCATTAAACTACATACACAGAACCCACACCAGTCAAATCAAACATACAGAATATCACATGTATAAGACCATCTCTGGCAATGTTGCAAATCAATCAGCTTTATGGCAATATTAGGTTTGTGATTTATCAGGTGTTTAATCTGATGGATTATAAACTTTGTCTGATTTATTTTATCCAATAACAATTTCTCTGTTGACGTTCCAGATATAAAAAAGATGGAAAATGACTTATCTATGCTGGCCACCCATATACTGGACTCAGCTGTTCTATGTTGGTTGTGTGTGTACTGTATGTGTGTATCTTCACATCTCTTAGTGTAAACAGTTCAAGAAAGAGGGACCCAACATGTTAACCTTGCTTTGGAAATTGAGTGAGCACAGGAAAATGTTATGAACTGAATGTAAGGATTAGATAAAAGCTAGGATTTGTTAATGTACACAAATAACGCACATACAAGAGAACACACATACATACACACTGCCGCACAGATTACAGAAATCAGGCCTAATCTGTGCAGGCTTACGTTTGACTGCAGCCATCTTGGCAGAGGGAAACTGAGCCAGCTCCTTCTCTATGTAGCACAGAACTTTCATTGAGTCCTGGTCTGAGCTGGGTTGCAGTAGGTAACCACTGCACACTGTGGATGTGAACACACACACCCATTCATACACAGACACATAAAGGCATAACCACACACTGACACACACAGATACACCTGAGTGTGTAGGCCATGTTCATAAAGGGCAAACTACCAAACATGTTAATGACAAATTTAATTCACAAACATGTGGCTGACACATTTTTGTATATTCTAATTAGATTAGAGACAAATGTGAGGAAGAGGGATGACAGGTGAAATGAGGGTTGTTTCTGAAGGGACAAAAGAGAGTTACAGAGCACTTTAATACCTTTGCACATGTCAAGCTGTGTTGATAACACTCACCTCCAGTCAGGTTGTTCTCCGCTGAGGGGACAGAGGTGATGTTTGGGTCCACATGGGATGAAGGGGCAAGAGGGACCACAGCAGGGACACCAGGGATGTAGTAGGGATACACAGGAACCTGAGTGGGCTGTCCACCCTTTGCCATCTTCCCTGCCTCATATACTGTGTAGTAGAACAACAAAACACTAAACCCTCCATGCAGAGTCACTGCTGTCAAGTTGCTACTGAGAATGTACATACAGTAAAGAAAGTTATGCTTTTAAGTAAATCATGTAGTTGTTTTTGTTATTTACAGTGTCGGGGGCAGCAGCAGGTGTCAGGACAGCAGCAGCAGCGGACGTAGCAGCAGCAGGAGTGAGGACAACACTGGCACCAGCAGATCCCCAACAACAACAGGAACAAGATACTGCCCAGAACTACAGATCCCACAAATGCCCACTCTGGAATACAGATACAAACACACACACATACACAGATAAATACATATTGTAAAGGATTAAACACTTTGTTCCATCTCCCCTCACAAGATAAATATTTTCAGGAAATCTCCTGATGAAAATCAAGATGCACAACAACCTCCAAAGTCACACAGAAGCTTTGCGCTCTATTTAAAGAGTGACCAGGCTGAGCAGCAGTGACTCATGTGACATTGTACTGACACACTATGGAGTACACTTCTACAACACTGCAGAAAGAGCTTCAAGAATCAGCATCTTTGTGGAACAGAAATAATAATTTAAAAAAAGAAAAATTACTTCATGTGGAACATTTTCTAATTTTCTAAGATTCAGTGGCATAAAACCAGGTTTCTTCCATACAAATATATTGTCCTCAACAAATTAACTGAAGTACAATACAAAATACTTCATAATGTATGCCTCCAGAAACTAATTTATAACTTGGGTTTTGTTTTCATGGTTATGGCCATCATTCCTACTGATGATAAAACATGACGACATAGGTAAAAATAAGTCAGACAGGACAGAAAGCCTGACAAGTCAAAGGTTTTAACAAATGGCTAGGTAAGCTAAACCTTTTTTGGAAGATAAAATGAAGATGAACAGTGACTTTGTTATCCAAACTGCCCTTCCAGCTTCCAGAAGTCCAGCTTCTAACAACACACTTCCTCAGGGTGTGCCCAAAAGCAAAATCCACTCAAAACCCCATGATAAGTCAACACACATCCCCCGTGGAATTTAAAACATGGCCAGGATAAAGAATAAGAATGGTACTGTAAATTTTGCTTCAGTTACCTACTGTATTTGTGCATATTCGTGCTGAGTTAGGCGCCTTTGCAACAAAGCTGTTGGCTGCTGACTGTAAATCCCCATTCTGACAGTAACAAACATCAGTGTCAGCACAAGTTCCTGAACTGAATTTGTTAGTCAAAGAGAGTTTTGATTGGTCAGTTAGATTAAACAAGAAAGTATTAGGGAAGCTAGAAGATGCCAGGCAATGAGACAAACATGCAGGTGAGGTGCCGTACCTGGCATAATCTCCATATCGAACCCAGGTAGGAGATCGCCCTTCTCACCTGTCCTGCCTGCAGAGAGAAGGAGAGCACAGGTGAAGGCCAGCAGAGGAAGCAGGAAGCAAGAGTCAAAAGCTCAGGCAAAGTAGAAAATTTGGTAGCAGAGTGAATGATTAATGGTCATGTACTAATTGAGGAACTGAAGGGACACAATTTTTACACAATTAGCAAACACAGTAATAAAACACTGATGTTTAGTTACTATAGATTAAATGTTCTTGACCACATAAATCTGATTTGATGATTTGGGTATTGCCAATTTTTCTTTTTTTTTGTACATCTATGGTCCTCAGAGGATGAAGACTCTCTGACTCTGAAGTTCCACCGACTTTTAGCACCATTATGAGGTTGACATATGCGGTTTTGAGTGAAATGTGTAAAATATTTGATGGAAAATCTTGAGATTTGGCAAAGACTTTCATGTTCCCCTCAGAATGAAATAAAATGACTTTGGTGCGCCTGCACTTTTCATTTTGTCATCAGGTCACAAATTCCAATTGCCCAGTACTTTGGTTTAAATAGCTGCAAAACTAATTGTTTCCAGCTGAATCAGTTATACTTTGTGTTTAATGCTAATTAGCAAATGCTAGCATGCTAACATGCTAAACTAATATGATGAACATGGTAAACATTACCTGCTAAACACTAGCAGGTTAGCATTGCCACTGTGAGCATGCTACATTAGCATTACAGTCAAAGCAGGATGGTAGAGTCTCCCAAAGCATGACTGCAGACTCACACTCATACGGTTTGGTTCCCTGGGTTTACGCTACTAAAATATGATCCTGTAAAGTAGCTAGCCACATAGGCTCATGTAAGTCATAGTTCAAAGGTCAGAAGTCAAACTTATTTTACTTTGAATCTAATCTTTACAGGAGTCTTCTATGATGAGGTATGCACCAAATGTGCAGCTTTCACAGCACACAAAAGAATTAATGCACATGCTGATAAACATGGTACATGCATTCAAACATACAAACACACACATATCAAGCGATGCCAACAGCGACAGCATGTGAGGACAAAAATGGGGATTTGGAAACTGGGGCACATAGCAATTCTAGGACAGTAATTTACCATGGGAGCTCACCAAAAAAGTTGTATGGCTATGAAACAATACCTCTTTTGTGTTTCATATACAAGATAAACATGTCAAAATAGAGGAAACAAAAAACTGAAAGCATTTAGAAAACTGGAAAATACAGAAAAGAAAAAGGAGTGTAACAGGTGTGACACACTACTGCAGGTGTTTTTAATATGTGTTTATGAGGAGGTGATAAGACACTATAATTATAATAAAACCAGTCACTGTCTGACTACAGGGTAGGTTTAACAGACACTGTCAGACAGGCTCCAGTGTGTCCAGACTATGGTGTTACTATGGAGGAAAAAAAAACAGCATACTCCAAAGATTGCTACCCTAGCACACTCATCTACATACCATGATGCTCAGTAACGCTGAGTAACCTGAGAGAGCCAAGAAGGTATGCAGCCCTGAGAGGGAGCAAGGCAGTGAAAGATGCAGAGAAACACTGAAGGTCAGGGAACAGTAATGGAGCAGTGCAGGAGACTTTCCAAGACAAAGGGGAGAGGAATGGGAGTGAATCAACCCAAAAGAAAAATTAACCAGAGATTAGGGAGAAGAAACAGCACAACCTGTTGCGACTCAATTGTAGGACTCTCTTATTTTTAATCCAAATAGACAACTTGTGTTTTTATGGAAGGTCATGTGCCAGACATTTTAGGTTATATATAAAGATGGTCAGTAACATGCTAATTAGTAGTTTTAGAGGTGGTGTAGGGCAAATTTGGCTACCTTTAGACAGCGTTTTCCAATGTTTATGCTAAGACAAGATAACCAGCTTCTGGCTATAGCTTTGTGTTTATCGCACTGACACGACAGCAGTATCAGTCTTTCAACAAGACAGTATGACATAGGCAATTCCTATACAAGTAGTTTTACACACTATTTTTAGCTTCTTTAATGCAACATGGCAAAGCTAAATAAAAACCCAGTATAGTCTTGTTATTCTCACAAGCTCAAGTCCCACCCTCCTCTCTCCTTTGAGCTGATTATAATCAGATTAGTGCTCAGTGGAGGAAGGCTGTATGAATGCTGTAATGTAACATGAACATCAGGTCAGTCAAACTTCAAGGAAAAAAAAAACATGCTGGGTAACTTTCATATCACGCTGTTGTGAGAGTTTAGCCTGGTTTCTACATCTCTGTCTCTTCATGTCTAAACCAGCAGCGACCCTTAACATGCTCCAGTCTCTTATTAAAAAAAAAAAAAAGCACGTTGCCATGGTAACATCTTAAGGGGTGCCTTTACCTTCAATAGCCTCAATAATTTCTCTCCTGACTGGACATGCTACTCCAATTTTCACTGACAGGAAATGGTGAATCTCTGACCTTTAGCACTGAAATATTAGCCTTGTATAATCATTAATCAGCAACAGACACACTGCAATGAACAAACACAATAATATACCCTATTGTGCATCTGCAAACATGATCCCATTTTGTCTTCTGACATACAGCACATAGCAACTAAGTGTCTTAAGATGAACCTAAAGTACAGTGCAGCCAAGTCCACGTCAGGCTTCTAAAGTGTATAGCTGGATAAACAATAGAATCTGTCATGGAGGACCTTGCAAAGAGGCAAACACTATGCGGCTGTCTCCATGGAAGCTGTGTATGGACACTTGGGAATGCAGGCAACAAAAAGCCATTCCTTCCTTTCCATACAAAAAAAGACACTTTACTGAACTTGGTATGCAAACAAATATGTAAATAAAGAAAACTGTAGCTGTTATGTCATTACTTAGAGGAAAGTAAGCATAGGCATACCGAGCACCAGTAACTCCAGCTGGCCCTCATTCTTCCCCTCCAGATCATTAGCAATAATGACTTTACAGAAGTACACTCCGCTGTCGCCCCACTCCAGCTTCCCGATCCTCAGGTCTGCTCCTGCAAAGACACAAGAAACAAGATTAGATGCACTGTGAGAGGCGAGAGTTTAATCACTAAACTGATAAATCCAAACTGATCCTCCACAGAACATCACTTACATTTAATGAGATTTGAGTTAGAATGTTAAAGAGCAAACACTATAAAATTAGGCCATTTTTGTGGTCAGTAAATCATCATCTATTACTCACTTGCCCAGCTATTTTATGGTGCTCCATTTCCAGCCAGCTGAGGGCCAGCTGGAGTTACTGGTGCTCGGTATGCCTATGCAATTTCCGGGTTGCAAGCGAGAGCAGACGTCTTTACTGCTCCTCTTGTCTGTTCTACGATTTTTCACATCTTCTACATTTTCAAGTCTTTGAACAAATTCTACAACTATTAAAATGCCTCCAAGAGGGAAAAGAGCTAATAAATCAGAAGCGAATGAGGATGTTGAAGCAGAAGAGGATTATATTTCAGCGGCGCAAGTAACAGAGATGTTGAGTCAGCAGAA